CTCCGCCTCCTCCCGCGCCGCGCCCACTGCGCAAGCGTCGCCCGCCGAGGCCCCGCCCCTTCCTCCCTCGGAGGCCCGCCCCTTAGTGGCGTCACAATCCCGTGACGTCCCCCGCGTGACCTCACCGAGGTGGAGCGAGGTGGCGGGCAGTGGTAAGAAGGAAAGGGACAGTCGGGTCGCGCGAGGAGGTGACTCCTGGCCTGACCTTCTCCTTGCCCCACCCCCGCTCTCAGTGGGAGGAGTTAAAGCTCCGGGTTGAGAGAGAAGCTCCGGATCTTCGTCTGAGACAAGTCCACCATTTTGCAGGTGAGGAAACCGAAGTCGCGAAGGAACAGAGACCCCGGCAAGGTCAACTACCAAAGTGCACGCAGGATCCAGTTTTCCCAGCCAGGGGTTTGCCCTTCACGCTGGAAGAACTTGTTTGCATAAGTTTCTAGAGCTGCTTTCCTTGAGAGATAATGCCCTAAATCCTGGCCATCCTCGGTGGTGCTTACTACAGTTTATCAGTGCTGCATGTGTTATGCAACGGTAATCTCGAATCTCCGGCAAATAAAGGAGGCCTCGATACAAACAAACGTCAACACGGGGCCAAGCGAATACCGCACGTAATCTTCTACACGCTCCGCCAAGTTGAGGCAGGAAAATTTGATATGCCTTGTTAAGTTTTCAGAAGGCAAAGTGTTACTGTACATATAGTACACCAACCTGGTAAAGGCCCCGTTTCAAGATCAAAAAATGAGAAAGAAAGCATAGGGACCATCTTGTTTACCCACTTTGATTCCTTCTTTCAGAACGTCCTTTTAGACCCCCTATTTGCCCGACACGTCTACATCCAAAGGGGAAAAAGATGTGTAGGAAATGGCCTCCTGTCTTCAAGTAGCTCTGTTTTACAAATAAGAAGAGTGAGATCCAAAAAGTTTATATGCCTTGTCCGAAAATACAGAGAAGCATAACTAGAACACAGCTTTCATGTTCCTAATGGAGTATGTTTTCCATAACAATTACAACAACAGACAACTAGAATAAGTGACTGGTAATATCTGGGGTGCTGTGAGGTTTTGAAGAAGGAAAACAGTCTACATTCTTCTGTCCCAAATAAGACTAAAAGCCTGGGTTCTGGAGTCACACATTTGGGATTCAAATTCTCATTCTGCCATTGGTATTGGTAATCATTGTGCATGCCCATATAGGATTGTTGTGAGGATTAAATGAGGTAACAACATGTAAATTCACTACCCTGAGATCTTAGCTCGCATCTAAACAGTCCACATAATGCAAAAAGATCCTTGCATATGACAGACCCAAATGGCTCAGAACTTCATTTCATGGCGGGAGTTATCTCAAAGGAGTACGACTCCTCAAGTGAATTCTGAAACTGTGGGGACATTTTTGGATCTTATGGGATTGGGGATGGCCCCCTGACTGTTGATTACCAGAGAAACAGGGATTTTAATTATCTGCAATTCTTGGGACAGTGGTGCGATAAAAAACTGTCCCATCCCTAACCACTGTGCATACTGACCAAGGCAGCTGGCACATTAGATATCAAGGAAGAACTAGCCTTCACTCCCACCCCATGTCACCCTCCATGGAATGCTGCTTTTGTCGGGATGGGATATGAAATCTAGAACTATATCGGAAACTATGCTTGAATATGCCACGGCCTGGTACGTACCCAAGACCAGATAGTTTCTGAACTTCTTGGGCTGGTGATCTTGTGTAAAAATCTAAACTAATCCCAGATCCCCAGACCAGGTCAGTTTTAGGGTTTCATAAGGAAGTTAAGCCATTCTGTCATTCAGAATGTCTAGGAGAAAAGTGATTCATTTCACTGGGGCAGCCTAGATTGCCTCCATGTCTCCAAGTCCTTAAGATTCAGAATTGCCAAGGCCAGCAAGTAGTGAGATTATGCCACAGCATAACTGATTCAGAGAATAAAGAGTCCAAATAGACATTAGCATTCATTATATGATAACAGCAACTTGTAGTAGAAACCTTTTGGGTGCATGTCCAAACCGTGATGACCGCCTTTCTCTGAGAACCACTAACAGCCCTCTAGTTGGCCCCCAGCAGCCATCTCTGCCCCATATAACCTTGTTCCTTAGCAGTTATTGATTGGGCAAGAGGGAGACACCTGACCTGCATCAGCCAATCAGATTCTCTCAGGAATTTGGAATTGAAACTCAATGAGTTGGTGGAAGAGGCCTAAGCTGTTTGAGAATGAGTGATAGAAATACAAGAAAAGAGACCATCTATGTGGGGCACCCATGAAAAATAGATAATGCCCACCTGCAGAAAGAGAGCCATGAAGCAGAGAGTAGGAAAGATAAGAGACCTGAAGGCATAGAAGAGAAAGGTTCCTGTCCTCCTGAGTTCTGATTATTTAGCTTCCCTTAGATTCCATAGGATTCTCCAGGCTCCATTCAAAATTCATTATCTCCTGGATGAAGTGAAAGAATTCATAAGAAGAAGAAGAAAATAAAGTGAATATTTGATTTCTAGATAGAAATGGACATCCTACTCTTAAAAATAATGGAAACCCCATAGGAAAAAAAACCAAGAAAAATGACAATTCACAAAAGAAATACAAATGGCCAATAACATATTGAAAGATATATGCCACTCAGATACAGAAATAGATTAAAACAACAATCAGGTATCTCGTTTGTCTAATCAGATTGGCAAAGCTTTAAAAAAATTTATAAAAGCTTTTGTTGGTGAGAGTGTGGGGAAATGGATACTATGAAACACCACTGCTTCTGGGAATGTAAATTGATAGAATTTTTTCCAAAGATAAGTAGATGGGATTTACATAAATTGGTATAAAGAACCTTTAAAATATTCATATACTGTAGCCCCCAAATCCTAGGCTTATAAATAAGCTTTTCATAGAAGTATCATAATGCATACAGTAATGAAAAGTTAAAAAGCTAGAAATAGCCCCAATGTCCACCAGTAAAAGAATTGTTGCAAAAAGGAAAAAAAGTTGTGGGCAGGGATGGACAAAATCCTTACTTTTTTTTCACCAATATAGTTAAATATGAGTTTATTTTAGTTCTTCACATTCTCCCTCCCCAAGTCAGCTGCCTTAAATCTTGTAAGCTGCAAAGTCTAGGAAGCAGCTAACAGTCAAATGAGCTGTTCAGTCAAGCAAGCAGGTGTCTGCTGGTTTACTATCAGCAAGGCTTAAGTTAGGGACATTGGCTCAGAAAGAGAGCCTTCATCTGTGTGTTGTGTGACTATCAACAAATTAGTTTCTAAACCTTAGTTTCTTCATCTCTATATAGGGAATGCTGCAAAAAGATCACTGAAGTGGAGCAAAAGAGTAAATCAAAGGAAAGAAAAAAATTTAGAATTTAACCTACAGCTACAATTAACAGTTACATAAACATAAACACAAGTGAAAACTTCTGTGCTGTGCTTATTTCTTTAAATTGGAAGTTTAAATGAGATGGTCCTAAGTGATTGTAAATGTTAAATATGAAGATATTAGAAGACAATGGAAGAGACAGTGCCATAAATTCTATAAATAACTACCTAGAGGTAGCCAACAGTGCAAAGCAGCAAACGTTCCAGTGCCAAATGAACAGTAGACAAAGAGGCTGTAGGACTTGTGGGGAGGGAAGAGTGGAGGGAAGAGGGATGCTCAGAGAGCCTGGAAGCCAACCTTCCCCAGGTCCTAGATGATTCTCCACATGATTTGAGGAACAGGCTGGTGAGGGGACACATGACAAAATCTTTTAGGCATTTGTCGTCTTAATTGTGATTTTATAAACACATAACAAAATTTACCCTCTTAATCATTTTTAAGTGTACAGTTCAGTAGTGTTAAGCATATTCACATTGTGCAACCAATCTCCAGAACTTTTTCATCTTGAAAAACTGCAACTCTGTACCCATTAAAAGACAATTCCCCTTTTCCCCACCCTCAGTCCCTGGAAACCACCATTCTACTTTCTGTTTCTATGAAGTTGATTACTGTAGTGATCATACAGTGTTTGTCTTTTGTGACTGGCTTATTTCACTTAGCATAATGTCCTCAAGGTTTATCCATGTAGCATACATCAGAATTTCCTTCCTTCAGAAGGCTGAATGATATTTCATTGTATGTATATGCCACATTTTACCTATCTGTTTAACCACTGATGGACATCTGGGTTGCTTCTACCTCTAGGCCATTGTGAACAGTGCTGTAGTGAATATGAATGCAAATATCTCTTCAAAACCCTGCTTTCAGTTCTTTTGGATAGATACTCAGAAGTGAGATTTCTGGATCATATGGTAGTTCTATTTTTACTTCTTTAAAGATGCTTCATACTGTTTTCCAGAGTGCTTACACCATTTTCAGTCCCACCAACAGTGTACAGGTATTCCAGTTTCTCCACATCCTTGCTAACGCTGGTTATTTGTGGTTTTTTGGGGTTTAATTTTTTTTTTAATCAAAGCTAAAGCACAAGCATGCTAACACACTCTATGGCTGAGCTATAACCCACCCCCTTGTTTTTTGAGTTTTGATTGTAGCCATCTAATGGGTTTGAGGGGATATCTCACTGAGGTTTTGATTTGCAGTTCTGTGAGTGTACTTGAGGAGACGGTCTCTCTGGGAAGTGAGTGGGTGAGGCTGAAGAGCAGCCTCCTGCAGTAAATAGTACCTCCACTTTCAGCATCCACTCAGAGCATGATGGGAAAGGACCAGATTCCCCCACATCTAGGGTTTTTCCAGTTCCTTTACCTGTTATCCTACTCAAGAGATACAAAAACAGAAAGCACCAATCTACTGTACTATTTTTTTCTTCTGAACAGAGCATCTGATGCCCTGAGTCTCTTTTTTCCTACTGTGGTGAATGGGACAGTGCAAAAGAAAACCTGTCTTTATCTCACATCCCTCGGTCCCTTGACCTAGATACATCTAGAAGTAGTCCATTCTTTTATTGCTTTTCTTCTTCTTCTTCTTTTCTTGGCCCCTTTAGTTTACCAGAGCCAAAACATCTTCCAAGAACATACATCAACTCCTTACCTCTCCCTCATGTGAAGAAAACTCACATGTCCTCTTGTTCATTGTAATCACTCTTTTCACTCTCTCCAACTGGGTCACAATGTGTAAAACATCTTACTGTCTGCATCCCAGGTAGAGGTAGAAAGAAAAGGAGGAAAAGGGGAACAAATACATAATGAACTCCTACAATGTGCCAAATGTCCATCATTTTAAGTACTTTGTCTCATGTAATCCTCACAACAAAATGAGATCAGAGTTATTACAATTACCATTTTGCAGAGAAGGAAATGGAGAGTGAGAGTTTATAAAATGTGTCCAAGGAGACACAAGTATTGAGAACACCAAGATTTAAGCTCAAAGTTCAGAAAGAAACCTGTTTTCCTCTTTACTCCAGATTTCCTTCAGTACGAAGAAGTTTGCCTTTTCACCATGTGTTCAGCTTGATTGTTTCTATGGAGCTGTCAATGTTTCATCTTACTGTGTTTCTTTGATAATTTCCAGGATACTGCCAAGTAGATTAACATTAATGCTAATATCTTAAATTTATATAATAACACCTTATCGTTTTTCAATGTACCCATCCTCTCATCTCATCCTCAGGAAAAACATTTTTCAGTTTATTTTTTAATGGCTTTATTATTTTGCATAGACTTATATATGGTTGCTGCAAATAAAATTAAGCAGTATAGAAAATTATAAAGAAGAAAATAAAAATTACCCTAAATCCCACTACCTAGTGATAACCACTATTAATATTATAGTAAATATGTTTTTCATGTCTCTCTCCATTTGTACAATTTGCCTAAGTGGTATCATACTTTGCCTGCCTCTCTAACCTGCTTTTTAAAATTTAGAATATATTGAAAAAACAGCTTTCCACATCAATAAATATAAATTTACATCATCATTTTTAATGGCTACATAGTATTCCAATTTAGGAGTGTATTTTACTTGACCAGTCTCCTGTTGATGGACTCTGAGACTACTTATAATTTTGTATTGTTATAGAAATTATGAGCCCCAATTAAGGATTAGGGAACTAAAACTCTGAGAAGCTAAATGACCCCTTTTTCAAAATTCAGGTCTGGAACTAAGCTGCTCAGTCCCAGACTTACGACTCTTAAAACAGTACTCTTTCCAACTAAACTACCAGAGCATGAAGCTGGAATTAGTGACATAAGATATGGACTTGACAACTAAAACTGATAGTTTTTAACTGCCCCATTTCTTAAAAAGTTAAGCATATACTTACCATAAAACCCAGCCATTCCACTCCTGTGTATTGACCCAAAAGAAATGAAAGCATATGTTCTTGTACATGAATGTTCACAGAACTTTACTTGTAGTATTCAAATAATGGAAAAAATGTTCATCAACAGGAAAATGGATAAACATATTGTGACATAGCTATACAATGGAATACTACTCATCAACCAAAAGGAATGAGCTATGGATCCATACAAAACATGGATGAGTCTTGAAAATCTTATATTGAGCAAAAGAAGCCAGATGCAATGGAATATATACTGCATAATTCCACTCTGTGAAGTTCAACAGGCAAACTAAGCTGTACTACTGAAGAGTGACCAGTGAGGTCCTCCTCTCTTCACACATTTCTCAAGAGCAGACCTGTCTGTGAGGGCCACATGTCTGAAGCCCTCGCCTTCACCACACATGTAAAAGCTGAAGGATTCCATGAAAAGAAGATTTTGTGTCAAAAATAGACTTTCAAGGAACAAAGGAAAAGCTATTTCCTGAACTGGGCATAGGGGAGCAATTCCTGGAAAGATAAATACTTGAAAACCTACTTTGAATTTCGAAGGGCTGAGAAGGACTCCAGGTAATAACAATCTGCCTCTGCCTCAGTGGTCCAGGAGAATTTCACTGCCCCTCATTTGCCTTCAGTCCACCTCCTCCCACTGCAGAACCTCTGAAACCACTTTACAGACAATCTCAGTTTCTACAGAAAAGAGAACATGAAATGACTTTCAGATGCTCAACTGGTTAGAATGTCAGAGGTGGCTGCTTGGAAAAGAATGCAGAACAAAACAAAACTGAAAGCCCTAAGGAAGAATTTCTATAAAGCAAATATTTGTCTGTAACTGCTCACAGCAACCTGCAATAAAGGCATCTCCAAAAACAAAATGTTTGTTTTTTCTTTACTTGTGTGTGTGTATGTGTGTGTAGAATGATATGGATGAGGCCAGGATAAAAGACAGTAAGTTAATACTCCATTTCTTACCAGACTACCCATGACTAGAAGGTAATAAGTTCCATCATCAGCAAACTTTCAACCTGCATCTCTGTGTATTACCATGTTTCCCTGAATCTAATTTCCCTGACTACCCACATCAGAGTCACTTGAGGGAAGGTGGCTCTGGTTTAAAATGCTAGTTTTTAGGTTCCAGACTCCCTTGAATTTGTCAGTGTGTCTGGGATGGAGCCCAGGAATCCCCAGGTGATTTTTATGCACAGTGAAGCTTGAAGATCATTACCGTAAACACAGTTAGTTGTTTATTAATGGTTTGCTCAATAGTTACCTTGATCAGAGGTTGAAAAGTTCAAATCTATATTTTCACTGGTACGTTAGAATTACATCTGTATCAAGAAAAGCAGGCTTCCTCCTCCCTTGGATCAGCCCACCTCCCATTCTTGGGGGTGTACTTTTCCTTTCCTTTCCTTTTAAATAGATCTTTTAAAATCTTTCAGCGTACACACACACACACACAAGCAATTATGTGCAGCCATTATGGAAAACAGTATGGAGATACCCAAAAAAACTAAAAATAGACTTACCATATGATCCAGCAATCCCACTCCTGGGCATATATCCAGAGGGCACTCTAATTTGAAAAGATACATGCACCTCAATGTTCATTACAGCACTATCAACACTATATACAATAACCAAGACATGGAAGCAACCTAAATGTCCATTGACAGGTGACTGGATAAAGAAGTTGTGGTATATTTATACAATGGAATACTACTCAGTAATAAAAAATAAAATAATGCCATTTGCAGCAACATGGGTGGACATGGAGATCATCATTCTTAGTGAAGTGAGCCAGAAAGAAAAAGAGAAATACCATTTATCACTCATATGTGGAATCTTAAAAAAAAGAAGAATCAAAAAAAGGACACTAATGAACTCATCTACAAAACAGAAACAGACTCACCGACATGGTAAACAATCCTACAGTTAAAAGGGGAAAGTGGGTGGAAAGAGATAAATTTGGGAGTTTGAGATTTACAGATCTTAACCACTTATAAAAATAAAGAAAATTTTTTTTCTGTATGGAAAGGGAACTATATTCAATGTCTTGTAGTAACCTTTAATGAAAAACAATATGAAAACAAATGTGTGTATATATATATATATATATATATATATATATACACACATGACTGGGACACTGTGCTGTACACCAGAAATTGACACATTGCAACTGACTATACTTCAATTAAAAAAAAAAAGAAAAGAAAAGCAATTATGAATTGGCGAAGAAGCAAACACTGGATGGTTGTGAATGTACATCCAAACAATCTTTCTGATATTGTCAGCAATATGTATAAAAATCTTTCTAATATGCTCAGATTCATATTTTCTACTCCTAGTCATGTATCTGAAGAAAATAATGAGTAAGCTAAGAACTATGTATAAGAATGTTTATTTTGCCATTGTTCATAATAATGAAAAATTGAAACCATCTAAATATCTAACAGGAGATTTTTAAAGATGTTAAGTTATGATAGTGCCATATAATAAATGCAGATTGACATTTAGTGATATGGAAACATGTTTACAGTACATCATTGAGAAGGATTATAAAACATTTCCCCATATTTCATTTTTGTAAAGAAAAATTAAAACCAAAAAATTTGGAAGAATAAAATATAAAATATTAACAGTAATTATCTCTCGTTGGTATGATTACAGGTCATATACATTTTTCATCTTTGTAATTTTTCCAAATTGTTTTAAAATAATAGATACTATTTTTATAATCAGAAAAAAACAGTAAAGGTAGAGTCCTTTTGTTGTTCTTATTGAAGTATAGTTGATTTACAATATAATATTAGTTTTAGGTGTACAACATAGTGATTCAGTATTTTTAGAAATTATACGCCATTTAAAGTTATTACAAAATAATGACTGTATTTCCCTGTGCTGTATAATATATCTTTGTTACTTATTTATTTTATACGTAGTATTTTTTATCTCTTAACCCCCTACCCCTAAGATTATATTCATTTTGAATAAAAGGGGGCAGACCACTGAATTCAATCTCTGAGAAGTGGGGTAAAGTTCCACATCTACTGCTTTGAACCTCACTTTTTTTTCTATAAAATAGGGATGGTAATTTCTTCCCTGTCTACCTCAGAGGGTAGCTGTGAAATAGAATGTGGAAGTGTTTTGGAAACCATAAAATGTTTTATAAAGTTAGTGTATTATTAAGTCTTGATTTTCACATCAGAGACACAAATTCATGCAATACCTAGATATGCAAAGATTGGTCATTAAAGCATAAAGCTAGATCTTTTTTTAAAAAAACTTTTTTACTTTTTATTATGGAAGTTTTAAAACATGTAACAAAAGTAGACAGAAAAATACAATGACCTACCATGTATACTTCACCTGGCTTCAATATTACCAGCTTAACAGCCAATTTATTTTAGCCACACTTGCCTACCCACCCCTACCTTCTCCCATATTAACATAGTATTAAGCTGGCATTGGGCCTCTGAAACTTTCATATGCACAGAAGAATTTTAGTTCTTAATTCCTCATCTGAAAAGACAGAATTGTACACTTTAAAAAGGGTGAATTTTATGGTACTCAAATTGCATTCCAATTTTTTTTTAAAGACAGGAGTTAACATATGAACAACACTTAGCATAAGTGTCTGGCATTTAGAAACAGCTCATTATGGGTAAATTCTCATCCATGGTGTAGCCATGACTTCAAGTTTTAAGGTGGCTATAAATCCTACTTTTAAAAATACCAAAACACTAAGCAACAACTAGAGGGTTAACGGTGACAATATTGTGTAAAGTGTAGTTATTGGAATAGGGGTGACATTTTCCCCATCAATTTACATCAAAACTTTACATGATTATAATAAAAATTTACATGAAAATCTTCTATTATTCATAATATGTACCACTTAAATTAAAAAAAAAAAAACCATATCCATATCCAAACCCATATTGTCTCCCCAGATTATTCATTCTCAGAAGGCATTCTACCAAAAACTCAACATCACAACCAAGAGTTGATTTAATGCTACTCCTAGAGATTGTGCCTGCAGCTTAGCATTGGGGCAATCATAGGGGCCCCAAAGTCTGACAGACTTGAATTCAAATCCCAGCCCTGTCACCTACCAGATATGTGACTTCAGAGAAATTCAAATTAAGTACTCCTAAATCTTGCCCTCTAGCTCCTCCCTCTTACAGTGCATAGGAGACCTAAATAAGAGAAGGTAAATAAAAGCACTTAGCATGATGCCCAACACATAGTGGGTTAGCAATAACATCTCACAAGATATTCCTTTTATTTATAGAAGAGCTTTTGAATTCATTATCATAGATACTGTTTTCCTTTTGATGAAGAAACTGATGAGCTTAATCAGTATTACTGAGCTCCTGGAGCCAGAGACTACTCATTCTCTACTGGGAAAGTGAAAATTGAGACAATCACCTGGCACCGTTGTGACTTGGCTATGTTTAGGAAACTTGAAGTGGTTTTCCCTACATTCCAGCAAGTCCATTTCTAGGTATGTGCCCTAGAAAATTCTCACATGTGTGACAAGGAGACACATTAGAATGTTCATTGCAACAACACTTATGAGAGCAAAAAATTGGAAGCAATCTCCACGTTCATTAACAGGAAAATGGATAGATCAATTGTGATATACTCATGAACTCAAACACGACTGAGTGAACTAGCCATATATGGCCATGTGAGTAAATCTCAAAATCACAAGGCTAAATGGAAAAAGTAATGGCAGAAGGATTCATACAATATGATACCATTTTTATGAGGTTTAAATGTATGTGAAATAATAGTATATAATTTTTATGATTCATATATATCACCTTAAAAAATAACAAGTAATAAATTCAGGATAATTGTTATCTCAAGAAAGAAAAAGAGGGGAATATGATAGGGGAGGGATACCTGGGTGTGTATGTGTAATTGTTTCTATAATATTTTATTTCTTTAAAAATATCTAAAGCAAATGGGGCATAATGTTAGGATTTGTATGTAAGGACATGAGTGTTTGTTATGTTATTCTTTATACGTATATATGTATATAAGCAGGAAACATTTATGTAGTGCTTATGTCATACATTACGTTCTTTACCTGTATTAACTAATTTAATCATTTCAGCAATCCTATAAGGTAGTAACTATGATTACCCGCATTTTACAGAAGAGGAAACTAAGGTACAGAGATAAGAGAGTTGCCCAGATGTTATATATTTGGTACGTGGTGATCCTGGGAATTGAAGACAGTCTGGTTTCAGAGTCTCTTAATAACCACACCCTCCTCCCTCTTGAAACATTTCAAAATTTTTTTAAAATAAAAGGGAGGCAGTACCAAGCAAGGAGGAAAAATCCTATAGCATCACACAGGCCAGTGAAAAGGCAGTTCAACAATTTTTCCTAACCTTCTTTTGTTACTGGTAGGATGTGCTTAAATTTCCTATCAGGCCCAGAGGACCCTGCCCAGACCTAGAGACCATCTACCATCACCACACAGTAGTAACACTATAGTAAAGGCCAAGTTACCTGTGACTTGGAATGAGGAGGATAAACAGTAAACTCTGAGAAGATTCTTCTGAGGCCTCAAGTCTTCAAGAAATTCTCTGTGAGGCAATGCAAAGCAGAATCAGATTAGATTAGAGTGAAGAGGGCTTTTCATTTATAGTCTGAGCTAATAATCCCCAGAGTTTTGATTGTTGTTAATTATCTGCATTTGAGCAGGACCATTTGAACAGGCAAATTCCTGAATGAGTCATAATCCACAGAAATGAAATAAAAAAAAGTACCCAAGCTTCTCACTGTATTACACAAGAGCAATATTGACTAGTTAGAAATCAAAGGTAACATTTGGCTCCAGGTCTGTTGGTGGCCTCCA